AGCTGCTGCTGCTGCTGCTGCCTCTCTGCACTCTCCTCTCGGTGCTTTGCTGCTGCCAGCTCAGCTTCAGCAGCAGCACGAGCATCTTGCACCTCACTCATCATCTGCTGCAGCTGCTGCAGGTGCTGCTGCTGCAGCTGCTGCTCGTCTTTATTTATAGATAGCTGCTGCTGTGCTGCAGCAAGTTCTCCCTCTTTGGCAGCAAGTGCAGCAGCAGCATGCTGCTGCTGCTGCTGCTTCTCCTCCCGCAGCTCCTGGAGCTGCTGCTGCAGCTGCTGCCGCTGCTGCTGCATGCGCTTCATGTCTGCTGCTGCTCGTGCCTGCGACTGCATCAGCTGCTGCAGCTCGGAGCTCTGTTCTGCTGCTGCTGCTCTTATTTGCTGCAGCTCCTCCTCAAGCAGCAGCCGCTGCTGCTGCGCCTCTGCTTGCTGCTGCTGCTGCTGCTGGGCCTCTGATGCGCGCTGCTCTTGCTGCTCCTTCAACTGCTGCTGCTGCTCCTCGAGCTGCTGCTGCTGCTTCTGCAGCTGCTGCTGCAGCTGCTGCTGCTGCTGCTCCAGCTGCTGCCGTGCCTCAGCAGCAGATGCAGAGATACGCTGGTGCTCGCTGCGGCTTTGCTGCAGCAGCTGCTGCTGCTGCTGATCTCGTTCTGCTGCTTGCTGCTGCTGCTCCTCCAGCTGTATCTCTTGCAATCTGATTTGCTGCTGTTGCTGCTGCAGCTGCTGCTGCTGCCCCTCCAGTTGCTGCTGCTGCGCCCTCAACTCCTGCTGCTGCTGCTCTGACTGCTGCATGCGCTCCTGCAGCTCTGTCTGCAGCTGCCGCAGCTGTTGCTGCTGCTGCTGTATCTGCTTCTGCTGCTTCTGTATATGTTCCTGCTGCCGCTGCATCTTGTGCTGCTGCTGCTGCAGCTGCTGCTGCAGCTGCTGCTGCAGCTGCTGCGCCTGCCGCTGCTGCTCTCCGCTCAAGAGCTCCGTTTGCTTCTGCTGCTCAGTCTGCTGCTTCTGCAGCTCCTCCTGCTGCTGCAGCCGCTGCAGCAGCAGCACTTCTTGCTGCTGATGTTCCTTGAGGAGTGTTGTCTGCTGCGCTGCCAGTGTTTCTTGCTGCTGCAGCTGAGCAGCAAGTTGCTGCTGCTGCTGCTGCTGCTCTGCTGCAGCAGCAGCGCGGCTCTCGAGGGCAGCAGCAGCCTCATCAAGCTTCTGCTGCAGCTG